TCCCTGCTGCCCCCAGGACAGGGTTGGCCCTCCTGGCTGCCAGGGCACTGCTGACTCAGGGACAATTAGTCACCTACCAGGACTTGCTTTCCTAAGAAAGGATAAAGAACATTTAGAATCATTAGGTTCAAGTGCTCTCTGAGACAGGCAGAATCTGTTTCTGGTCATGCCTGATGGAGATCCCATCTAACCAATTAATACCCACACGGATCGTGGTGTCCCAAATGCCACGACCCCAGAGAGGATTGAAGCTTCCTTGCTCCTCTCTGCTCGGCCACCGCTCTCCCAAGACCACTCTTTCCCCTCTCAGGACACTTTGGTTCTATTTTGATTTTTCCCCTCCCCTCCCTCCCCGCTGCAGGCACCCTGTGCAGGACCAAACCCACGGACCTGGTGTTCATCATCGACAGCTCCCGCAGCGTCCGCCCGCACGAGTTCGAGAAGATCAAAGTCTTCGTGTCGCGCGTGATCGAGGGGCTGGACGTGGGGCCCAACTCCACCAGGGTGGGGCTCATCAACTACGCCAGCGCCGTCAAGAGCGAGTTCTCCCTCAAGACCTACCACACCAAGGCCGGGCTCCTGCAGGCCGTGAGGAGGATCGAGCCGCTCTCCACGGGCACCATGACCGGCCTGGCCATCCAGTTTGCCATCAGCAGGGCCTTCAGCGACTCAGAAGGGGGCAGGGTGAGGTCTCCCAATTTTAATAAGGTGAGCCAGTTAAAAATTTCTTTTCGTTGAAGCGGATTAAAATTTTTTTCTTGGTGGTTTCTCGGGAGTTTCCTTCTCGAACCGCTTTTGAGGAGAGCGGTGGGGCCGAGGCGGGAGAAATGAATGGAAGCTGGAAAAAACAAAAAGATCAGACAGGTTTATAGGTCTGGTACTGCCAGTGAGGGTGCTGAGAGAAATTTGAAAGTGTATTTGTGGTGTGTCTTCCCATGATGGAACACAAGCTCGCCAGGGCTCTGGGAACTGTGGGAGTTCCAAGGAAAGATTCTGCCCATGACAGTGGATGAGCTGAGGGGTGACTTGAGCCACAAGATTCTTGAAAACAAAGCTCAGCTTTGAGACTTAGAGAAAGAAAATTTAAAAAAAAAAAAAAATCCCAATGTGTCAATGCACAGAAACATTTCTGTTCTTGAGCATTGAGAGGCAAATTTACCTCTCGCTGCTTCCAACATAACCTTGTAAAAATATTATTTCTCATCTCATTCTATTGTTGTTCCAACGTCTAGAAGGGCCAGAAGCTCCAAGCTTCTGGGAGGTGCAAACCTCTCAATTCTTCTTGAAAACAAAGCTCAACTTGGAGACTTAAGAGAAAGAAAAATAAAATAAAAAAAACCCAACTGAATTATTCAAATGCCAGACCACAGAAACATTTCTGTCCTTGAGCACTGAGAGGCAAAAGAGACATTTACCTCTCGCTGCTTCCAACATAACCTTGTAAAAAGATTATTTCTCCTCTCATTCCATTAATTGCTGTTCCAATGTCCAGATGGGCCAGAAGCTCCAAGCAGGAGAGGGGTTCCAAGGTGCTTGTCCTCCTTCCAACAACATCAGCAGTAGCTGCTCACTGTGTGACAGTAAATGAAGTAGGAATTAAGAAAGAGTTGGATGATGGTCCTGCCCTTGGAGAAGCTCAGCTCTTACCAGGAATATGATTATAGCTTTCATTTCCATGTCTCCTGTCATCAGACATCCACTCAAAGCTGTTGAGCACCTTTCTGGATGGATGAAGGTGCTGAGGGGTTCCAGTCAGGGCACAGAGCTTTCTTTTCAAAAGTGGGCAGAAATTTCAGGCAGTTGCTAATTTGCCACTAATTAGGAGCTGACAGCTCCAGGCAGCTCTTCCCCAGGTCCATCCCTTCCACCCTCATCCATGCAAAGGATTTAATAGTGGGAAAACACACTCGTGGACACCAAGGTGGCTTCTCTTCTCCACATTTGGCCTGGGAGCAGATGCCCAGCAAAGGGAGTTAAAACTGCTCCATGGATCTGTTCCAGTGAGGAACTCATGGCTGGAAAAGAATTCCAGTGCTTCCCATGGCACCAGTGATCCCACACGGAGCACAACCCTGACACAGCTCCAGGGCTCTGAGCTGGGAGTCATCCCCTCACCTCAGAGCTAGGGGAAATCAAGGAACAGGAAACCTGGGGGAAATCAAGAATAGGAAACCTGGGGCTCATCATTCCCCCTGGAATGGTGCCTGGGTCCCAAACGAAGGATCCTGAAGGAGGAGTTTGACTCCCAGTGCTGCTGCATGAAGGCAGATCCCATTGAATTTGCTGGTTTTCTTATTGTTTACCTTTCAAATGGAATAAATAATGGGATCCTTTTAGATCCACTTTCCTCCAGGACTGGTGTGAAACCCATTCATGCCCCTCAGAAATGCCACCCTATTTCTTTATTTCTGCTGTCTTTACCTAATTCCCCTAAATGTCTTTTAAGAGACTGGGACCATATTTAGGTCAGGCCTGGCACATGGGTCAGGCCTGGCACGCAGCCCTGATTTATACAATTATATATATATATTTATATCCATTATAATACTTCCAGAATTAACCTCTAATTTTATTTCTGACTCATGTTGACACCTCACACACAGCACTGTGGATTGAAGAGACATTTTCACTGAGCTGCCCATGAAAATGCTGGATTTCCATCTCTAAGGAATCTCTTCCACACCATTAAATAACCCCTCTCTTTGTGCACTGTTTCCCTGCTTTTGTCTGCTCTGCATCTGTGCTGCCAGACAACCCAGCCAACACTCTCTTCCCATCCTTGCTCTTCCCTGTCATCCCAATGTTTGTGTGGGCAGCAGCACAAAGAACTCTGAAGCTGCTTTATCTCCTTGAAATCTTCTTTCCTGGACACCTAAAAAAAAGGCAGAAAAACAGCAGAGGTCTTTTGAATGATTTCTCTTAGGCATTAAACTAAGGGGAAAAAAGAAAATCACCTCATTTTGCCCTCTTTCTTTCTACTTTGGAGCTGAGCAAAGAAGATCACGGAGAGGTTGGGGTTGGAAAGGATCTCTGGAGGTCACATTGCCCAGGTGGGGCCACCCAGAGCTGGTTGCACAAGACCACACCCTGATGGCTCTTGGATATTTCCAAGGTGGAAAATTCCACAACCATTTGCACTTCTTGCACTTCCCTGGTTATTTTTGGTGTTTTTTGGTTTTTTTTGTTTTTTTTTTTTCCATTATGCCTTAAAGTCCAGCAAGTTTTTTCCCTTCTGTGACACAGGTGGTGACCCCACCACCTGCCTGGGAGGCTGCAGAGATTTAGGGAAGCTTCCAGAAACCCTGGACACGGTCCTTGCTCCTTCCCACTGCAGAAATCCAGCAAGACCTTGTGAAAATCCTGATTTTCAGCCGTGTGGGACGCTGGGCAAAACATCCCATACTGTGTTGTGCTTTGTGCAGCAAATGTCACCCCAGGGCAGGGAAAAGCACTATTTGTTTCTGTAGGAGCTCGGGGAAAAGTCTGTTCATACCTTTCTCAAAACCCACGGGGGGCCCAATTACTCGGAGCTTTTTTTATTTTAGGCAGAACAACCAATAAATTGTCAAATTGCTGAGCAAATCAAGGGTTTATTTGAGTTCCTGCCCAATTCGCTGTTAGAACATCGTGTTGTAGAGAGGATAACGAGGCATCAGCACCTCATTAGCTGCTGGATTGTCTCCACAAGCAGCCCCGAGGTGGGAATACCTGGGGATGCCCAGGAATCCTCTGGTGTCTCAGTTAATCAGCAATAAATTGTGTCACGGGAACACGGGGGATTTCTGTGTGACAGAACAAACATGAGAGGGATCCAGAAAGTCAGGAATTCACTGGCTGGTTAAAAGGAGCACAAGATTTGACCTTGAAGAGCAGAATTTCTGAGCTTCCTTAGGGCAAAACTGCAGATCCTGCTCAGCTGAGCCAACAGAAAGGTTCAGCCTTTCTTAATTCCCCTCACATCACTTAGTCCAGCTCAGCAGAGCCTCTCCAGGATCCAGTGGCTGCTCCTTCCCAAACAAGGCACATACCAGGATTCAGCTTTTTAAATGAGACAAGGACACAGAGAATTACAGAGATCCCGAGACTGCAAATAATTTGGAAGTAGGTTTAAAAAATAACAATAAAAGAATAAATAAAAAAAAAAAAGGACATTTTTTTACCTTGACTCAGGCTGGCAGGGTGAATGTGGGAAAAAATACGTAACACTTGGGGGAAAAAAAAATAAATCAGGATTTCCTGATTATTTAGATAACCAAATATGATCTCAAAAATCCTTTTATACCGGTTTTATTTCTTACACTCTTTCTGTATCACCTGGTCCTGGCTGTAGTCCCAAACAGGCTGGTTGGTCTTGGTGCTTGGTTCATTTTCTCCACTGATTAATTCCTGATGCCAAATCCAGACTCTTTTGCCCCCCGAAGTTTTGTTTTTCCCCGACAGCAGGTCAGAAAGCGACGTGAATTTTGAGCAGCTTTTCACCCAGGCACATCCTGAAGATCTTCCCCCCACGATCCAGGTGTGGATGCTGCTCCCAGACACCTCCCGGGCTGTCTCTGGGGCTCAGCTGCAGGTGAAGATTGCCACAAGGAGATGGAAAGGAGCTCATTAAAGCTGGAAACCCACTTAATTTAGACAGAAAATAGCGGGGGGACACCCCCCCACCTCCCTCCTGTGCCAAACACTCGGGGCAGACGCTGCTCCTGACAGGAGCGCGTTCTCAGGGCGCTGTTCTCGCAGGAGAGACTCGCTGGTACATCTTGTTTGCTGACAGGTTGGGTTTGAAAGGCTCTAATTGGCAGCGCGGGAGGGTTTGCAGGAGGCAGAGGGCTGAGAGCTGAGCCGAGGGCTCTCTCTCCTGGCAGGAGGATCCACTGCATGGCTGGTTCTGCTCCCGCTCCGGGGACAACCCCAGTCCTCCCTTACCACCTTCATTCCCCTCTACATCGCACGCTTACATCTCCTTCTCCTTATTTCGGCCGCAATTAGAAGAGATAAACTTGAATTTCTTTATTCCCCCCCCCGGGAAGCAGCCAGCTGTGGAATTGGGGCGCTGCTGGGAGTTTTTGACTGTGCAGCCCTTCGGATGTGCAGAGGAACAGCTGCACTTACAGACTGGAAAGCTCGACGTTTTTTCATGGTTTGGTCATATTTTGGACAGGAGGAAAGCTCTGAGCGGGGCAGGGGATTGCTTTGGAGCTGCGGGATTGCTCTGGGATAGGAGACAGTGGCAAGGGAATGGCTGGAGCTGTGTCAGGGCAGGCTCAGGGTGGATCTCAGGCAAAGGTTCTTCCCCCAGAGGCTGGTTGGGCACTGCCCAGGCTCCCCAGGGCAGTGGGCACAGCCCCAAGGCTGCCAG